AAAAAAATACCCGAAACAAAATTTTGGAAAAAGGAAAATTAATTAACATAATTTTTTCATTAAACCCAATCCTTTTAAAAAAAATTTTGGTTCCTCTTTTAAAACTTTAGAAAAATTTGGAACATTTTCCCCCGGACCCCTAAAGCCTTTAAAGGGAAAGGGACCAAGGGGGGCCGGGCCCCAATTAAATTAAACCGGGGGGGCATTTATCAAACAAAATTTTAAAAAAAAAACAGGGGTCCCCGGAAAAAATTTTAAAATTGGCATTCTACAAACCCCCTTTAAAACTAACTTTTCTTCCCATCCAAAACCCTTTAATAACAAACAAAAAGTTAAATTTTTAAAAAAAACTTTAACCGCCCCAAAATAATAAAGAAAATTAAAAAAGGGAAAAAATGGGGCAAAATTTTATAAAAAATGGTTTAAAATTTTTTAAAACAGGGGCAATTTTTACCCCTTTTTTCTTGGAATTTTGAAAGGGGTTTGTCACCCCCGGGGGTTGGCCTTTTCATTGGGGGGACCCCCAAACCTTGGAAAAACCCCCTCCCTGGTTTTTTCATTAAAAAAAAGCAAAAAAAAAGGGCCCCAATAAACCAAAAAGGGAAAGGGGTTGGGCCAAATTTTTTGCCCAATGTTCCCCAATAAAAAATTTTAAGTTTGGATGGAAAAACCCCCTTTGGGGGGTTTGGGCCTTCTTAACCAACAAAGGGAAAGGGGTTAGCATTGAAAACCCAAACAGGGTTGCAAGGGTTCTTGGGAAACTAAAGGGGCCCGGGAATAATTTCCGGTTTCAAAGGGGGGTTAAACTTTGGGGGGCTTGGGATCCAAACCCACTGGGGGGGCAAATAACAACCAGGGGACAATTACTCAACCTTTAAAAATTCCCCTTTTTTCCGTTTCCCCCAAATAACCCCTTTTGGGGAGAAAACAAGTGGGGGCCCCTTTTCCCCCAATAAGGGGCCCCTAACCAAAAAGGAGTTTGGAGTCTTTAAGGGGGAAAAGGGGGGTGTTTAAAATTTTGTCCCAGGGGCCTTGCTTGGGAAAAAGTATAAAAATTTTTGACCATTTTAAAGCGTCCTAGGGGTCTTCCGTGTCCCCCAGGTGTTTGACCCCGGTGGTAGCGCCTTTAAGAAGAGAAAGGGCCGGAAAAAAAGGGACCACTGGTTGGGTTGGGGGAAGTAGAGACAAACCCCCGGAACCCAAACGCTTCCCAAACTGACCCCCCAAACAGGGGGAAAAGGGGGGAAAAAGGAATTGGGGGTTTGTTCTTAAGGGGGGACCCTGCCCTTGGAAAAAAGGGCCCTTCCCCCCCCTTCCCCAAAACCTTCCTTGGGCCGCTTCACCCCCCCCCTCCCCCGGTAAAAGGGAGAGGGGGACCTTTTGGGTTGTAGGGAACCAGGAAATTAGGAAGGGAAATAAAAGGTTACCCGGGTTTTTGCCAAGCCCCGGGGTGGGTTTCCAGGGTTCCGTTAGGGTTTGCGGGAGCAAAAAAAGATCGGTTTTTAAGGGGGTATCCCGTTTGTAGGGGGGTTAGGCCCCCGGGTTTTCTGGGTTTACCGGGAAAAGGGTTTTTTAGGGAAACGGGGGGGCCCCAGGTGTGTTCCCGGAGTTTTTGGCCTTGTAGAGGGGGGCCCCCCCTTGGGTTTGGGGTCGCCCGTTCCCCCCTAAAGAAGGCCCCGCCTGGTGGAAGGGCATCCCCAGGGTGACCCAGCCGGCTTGGAATGTCCCCGGATCCCGCAGGCCAGCCTGGGGGCGCCCAAAAACCCGCTTTTGTACAGTCACCCCGAAGGGGGGAGGGGAAACCCGGGTGCGGCCGGGGTTTTCCCCCAGGTAAAAGGGACCCCCAGTCGGTTTGGACCGAAAATTTTTCAAAACTTTGGGAAGACAAGGGGGGGTTAAAAGGGGGGGAAAAAAAAAAAAAAAAAAAAAAAAAAAAAAAAAAAAAAAAAAAAAAAAAAAAAAAAAAAAAAAAAAAAAAAAAAAAAAACCCCCCCCCCCCCCCCCCCCCCCCCCCCCCCCCCCCCCCCCCCCCCCCCCCCCCCCCCCCCCCCCCCCCCCCCCCCCCCCCCCCCCCCCCCCCCCCCCCCCCCCCCCCTGGGGGGGCTTTTTCCAATCCCCCCGGGCCCCCTTTTCGCCGGGGGAACCAAAACCCCCCTGCCCTCTCCCCTTTCGTTTTAAAAAAAACAGGAAACTGGGGGGGGGGAAAAGCCGGTTTGCCCGGGGGGAAAGGGGGGGCCCGGGGCGAAAAAGGAAACCCCCCTAGATCGTTGAGCACTTTTTACTGAAGACGTATTTATTGATCATTCATTGTTAAATAGGTCACCACTAACTGGTGGCTGAGGCAGCCCAACCTGGCCCTATAGTCTTATGACACCCAGAAGGTTTATAGGCCAGGCTGCCACAAATATGCCTCCGCAACAGGCGTCCCTTCTGCCCAACAGGGTGCAACTGCAGCCCGCAATTCGGGGTGTTCCTGCATGTGGGCATTCCTGCATCTGCAAGAAAGCCACTCCCCCTCCCCTCCTCCCGAGCACTCCATTGGTTCCTGCATGAACGCCCCCCCCCTCGAGCATCCCACTGGTTCCTACAGGAACGCCCCCCAGTCGAGCAGGACATCTTCATGGTTGTGTGTGACACTGTTGAATGTGGGTCAAAAGGGAAATACAAGTATTATCTGAGTTTTTCGCCCCAGCCTGCTGTGTACCAGAGTCCTCCTTGCTAGCTAGCGGGAGGCCCCAGCCTGCTGTGTACCGGAGTCCTCCTTGCTAGCTAGCGGGAGGCCCCAGCCTGCTGTGTACCGGAGTCCTCCTTGCTAGCTAGCGGGGGGCCCCAGCCTGCTGTGTACCGGAGTCCTCCTTGCTAGCTAGCGGGAGGCCCCAGCCTGCTGTGTACCGGAGTCCTCCTTGCTAGCTAGCAGGAGGCCCCAGCCTGCTGTGTACCGGAGTCATCCTTGCTAGCTAGCGGGGGGGCCCCAGCCTGCTGTGTACCGGAGTCCTCCTTGCTAGCTAGCGGGGGGGCCCCAGCCTGCTGTGTACCGGAGTCCTCCTTGCTAGCTAGCGGGGGGCCCCAGCCTGCTGTGTACCGGAGTCCTCCTTGCTAGCTAGCGGGAGGCCCCAGCCTGCTGTGTACCGGAGTCCTCCTTGCTAGCTAGCGGGAGACAGGGGTAACACCGGTATACCGTGTCTTTCCATCCCGCCTGCCGAACACCTGCCCTCTCCGTCGTTAACAGAACTGCGGGAAAACCGTGCCCGACAGGCAGGGGCGAAAGACACTGTTTACCGGTCCTGCCTGCTGTGCTAGCGGGAGGCAGGGGCGACCGGTAAACAGTGTCCTTCGCCCCTGTCTGTCCAGCACGGTTTTCCCGCAGCACAGCAGGCGGGATGCTAGGGCAGTTGGGGTCGAAACCGTGTGCTAGCCAACTAGCTAGCTTGCTAGTTCGCAACACCGTGTGCTAGCTTGCTAATTAGCTAGCTAGCACACGGTGCCGGCTCCCGCCTGCTGTGTACTGGAGTCCTCTTTTAGTTTGTTATCAAATCAAAAATGTTTGACCCGGAATTAAAACCGCCCGCGACATATAATAATATGCCATTTAGCAGACGCTTTTATCCAAAGCGACTTACAGTCATGTGTGCATACATTTTTACATATGGGTGGTCCCGGGGATCGAACCCACTACCCTGGCGTTACAAGCGCCATGCTCTACCAATTGAGCTACAGAGGACCACATGGTTTGAGAAATAATATAAAATGCGCACGAAATCCCGCAGAAACAAAAAGGTAGCTCCGGTAATATTGAGTCATATTTTTTGAGACAAGCCGCTTTCTTTGCTGTGCTGTGCTCCGTTTTTCCTCTGGCACTCAGATGCTGTGTGACAGGCGAGCGAACTTGCAATTGCAAAGCCTACTCAGACTGGCCTGTGCTCTAGGTTATACCAGGTGATTCAATTATACAATGTATCAACTTCGCTCGCTCTGCGCGCTGCTCCAATGTATACAAGTAACAACAGAACACTCATCAGGGTCTGCATCCCCGCTCGCCATCACGGCTAAATGATATTTTATAAACTGAGGGAGAAATAGATGAGCAGGAAGAGCAGACGGGGAGAAGCAGGTGAGTGATGGCTGGAAGGGGAAGCAGGTGAGTGATGACTGGAAGGGGAAGCAGGTGAGTGATGACTGGAAGGGGAAGCAGGTGAGTGATGACTGGAAGGGGAAGCAGGTGAGTGATGGATGGAAGGGGAAGCAGGTGAGTGATGGATGGAAGGGGAAGCAGGTTAGTGATGGATGGAAGGGGAAGCAGGTTAGTGATGGATGGAAGGGGAAGCAGGTGAGTGATGGATGGAAGGGGAAGCAGGTGAGTGATGGATGGAAGGGGAAGCAGGTGAGTGATGGCTGGAAGGGGAAGCAGGTGAGTGATGACTGGAAGGGGAAGCAGGTGAGTGATGGCTGGAAGGGGAAGGAGGTGAGTGATGGATGGAAGGAAGGGGAAGCAGGTGAGTGATGGATGGAAGGGGAAGCAGGTGAGTGATGGCTGGAAGGGGAAGCAGGTGAGTGATGGCTGGAAGGGGAAGCAGGTTAGTGATGGATGGAAGGGGAAGCAGGTGAGTGATGGCTGGAAGGGGAAGTGGCTGGCTGATCACTGCTGCCACACGTGATCTGCGCATGAAAGTTAAGTGGACATTATTGGACTTACAAATTCAAGATATTAGTGGCTGCTGTTTAATTTAATTTAGATCGGTAGGGCCAAAACATTTGGTAATGAATCATATGAAACGGTACGACGGTATTCTAAACTGTTGGTATCATAAGGTTTTGGTACTGTGATATTACCTGTGGTACCGGTATACCGTGCAAAACTACCCTGCAGTTTGGGAACCCCTGACATAAACCACATTTTCTTCATTTTTGGGGGGGAGGGGGGAGGGGGGGGCAAATAACTGTCATCCGAGTAGAACGGGTCAATTTTCTGAAGAAAATGTGTGGTGTTTGCTTCCTCAGCCTCACCTCATGCCGGTGGTGGAGTGGTTGCGTTGGTTCTGGAGCAGCTGTGGCAGCCCCAGCATGGCCTCCGCCAGCACGGCCAGGGAGCCCAGGGTCTCCACAAACAGAGAGGAGTCCAGGAGGAGAAGGGTGGTGAAGGCACAGGTCAGGGTGAAGGCCAACAGGAAGATGAGGTAGTCCTCGAAGCCATCCCAGCTCCAGAAGAACCGGGGTTCCAGATCTGAGAGAGAGAGAGAGAGAGAAGAGAGAGAGAGAGAGAGAGGAGAGAGAGAGAGAGGAGAGAGGAGAGAGAGAGAGAGAGAGAGAGAGAGAGAGAGAGAACATAATGGAGGGTATTGTTTCTTCTTTTTACCTCTCCAATATCTCCCTCTAGTGGTAAAACAATGGAACAGCTGCAGAGGTGGCTATGAGTTTGGACGTTAGATGCTTGATAGATAGCTGTCTTATGGTTATTAAATGGTTTATAGATGCTTGATAGATAGCTGTCTTATGGTTATTAAATGGTTGATAGATGCCAAAGCCTGGAGCCGAGTCTAGATGGTTGTTAGATAGTTATTCTATGGGAGCCATATGGTTGCTGTTACCTGTGATGTGGTGCTGTCTGGTGCTGATGCGGTTGGTGTTCTGGACAGAGCAGCAGAGGTTGAGCATCACCAGCATGGTGAGAATCATCACCACACTCTGCAGGACCAGAGTGACCTCAAACTGCTTCCCAAACCTGCAGGTGTGAAAACACACACGCAAGTGCACATACACACAGACAGACACAGAGGCAGACAGACACATTAGAGGGGAAACTGACACTGCATTAACTCCAGGTAAGCCCCCCCCCCCAACACCCAAACACACTCGCCAGAAGAGGATGCGAAGGATGTTAGCGACCAGCAGAACCAGGCAGACGCGTGTAGAGAAGCCGTCTGTGTTCTTGGTCCGGAGGATCTGCTGGTACTGTGGGGCGTAGGGCAGAGCCCCTCCAACCACCATCACACAGGACGCCAGCCAGCCCAGAGAGGCCCACAGGGTCCACACATCTCCCTCCTCATCACCCAGACCCAGTCTGCTGTCCATGGCTCTCACAACTCATGGGACACCACAGCACAGCTTTCCACCAGTAGGCTCTGATCCTATGCACCGAACATAATGTCAGACTTTAGTTCCGTTAGTTAAATTGTGCATATAGACGTGTCATGTGAAGTAGGCCCTAAATAGCATCTGTAAGCTTTTGTTGTTGCTTTGTTCTTCCCCCCTCTTTTTTTTTTTTTTACTGCAAATCAGTCAGACAGTAAACTGTAACCAATTTCAAACAATAAAACCTATTTCAAAGTTGAAACTTCTGCTGAGCTCTTAGTCTGGCATGAATGACAAATCAACACGAGGAGAGAAATAAAACGGACTGTAGCCAACCTACCTAATTGATAGGGAGGCTTTTGTTCATCAAGGCCAGGATAAGAAAAAGGCAGTGTTGAGTGAATTCAACCGGCAGAAAATAATATGAATGGCGATTAAATGTGCGTTTCATCAACCAAATCGAGGAGGATGCAGTTTCCTTTCAAATATATATTTCCTACTAAATGCTTGTTCGCCATGCATCATGTTCCGAGTTCTGCTCTATTTCTACCAAATACTCGATAATATTGTTGCATTAATTTATAAAGCATATTAAAAACGCTTCTAATACCGTTTGCTTGTTTCCGGTTTTGGAAAACTCACGAGATTTAGCATGCGCATGCTTCACTGTTTACCGGTTGGGGGTCTGTAGCTAGTCAGTGAGGGATTCGATTAATCTGCTCGGGCGCCCGTTTATGCGTATTTTGCACCGGCTGGAAGTTGATTGCGTTCGATTTGGAACCGGGCTGCCCAATGGGGCATGAGCCAGGTGTCATGCTCTGACCGTCCGACGGCGAAGTCGGCTCAAAACAAACGTTTGGTAATCAAGCACGTGTAGTAATTAGTAAGATTGTGTTTTTCCATGTGATTGCTTTTGATAAAAACGCTTTATCTGCCATCCCAATGAAAACTAGTTTGAAAATTCAAACATGTATTTTATTGGAAAAATATATGTTGTATGTTTCTGGACGATGCACCATGCCGCCTTGTTGACAACATGACCAAGTGGTGCAGATTACTGTCCGATTTGTGACGGACGCTTCTCCCTCCCCGCTTTCGCCCGATGAGGTGACTGGCCATCAACCTGGGCCATCGTAAAATAACTCCCTCAGTCATTGACGGTTGTTTCGCTTCGCCTGCAGAGAAGGAAGAAAGACGTCTCTGACTAACCCGCGGTGGTCTCTATCGTACAGCAGCGCCACGAATTTAGTGCAATGTCAGAGATCCAGGATCCGAAATCTGTACAGGACCTGACTGGGGTGGTGAGTCTTATTACCTAGCTAGCTAACGTTTCCAAATCCTTGCCATATCCTATCCGACTTGAAAACCGTCCTCAGAACTAGCTAGCGTTAGCTAACTTAACTACCAGCAGGCTGGCTAACGTTATCTAAAGTTCTGCTATAACATATTTTTTCCCCATTCGTTTTTGTAGCTTATCAAACAGTAACTTTCCAGAATGAAATAGTTGCAGTCGAAAATTCTGTTTAGCTACATTACCTTTGTTTTAATCCTGTTTAGCTAGCTAGCTACAGCTATTATTCTTGAAATGGAACTGGAATTAGCTAGCTTGCTATCTAACTAAATGTAATTGTGTTCCGGCATGTAGCTACATTTTACATTTTGTTTGTTGGGGACAAACTGCAAGTCTCCATGGTTTCCATGGTATCAGCGGTGGAGGCAGCACCCTGTTGAGTAGGCATCGGAAGCAGCTTAACGCCCACAAAGTTCAGTAGTATACATGCATGCACCACGATTCTGCAATGCTACAGGATAGAAACGTGTCTGCCCACACATTGCAACAAACAGTAGTGACAAAATGTTCTGTCCACCTCTCCTCTCTCCTTCTCTGCAGGTCCAGACACTGCTGCAGCAGATGCAGGATAAATTCCAGACCATGTCAGACCAGATCATTGGAAGAAATATCCTGCCTTCACAATTTCAATGCTATTTTTCTATGGTTCAATCAAAGACAGACTTTAAGAATGACACAGTTTTACGTTACAATTTAATTTGATTTCTCATGGCCTCATCTAATGATATCAATGATTGCATGGTTTGATCATTCAGATACATGTAATGCACTCAATCCTGGCAGTCTTGTCAGCCGGTTTGAAGCAATTGTGTAAAATAATCAATCACATTTTTATTTGTCACATGCTTCGTAAACAACAGGTGTAGACTAACAGTGAAATGTAAAAACTTTTGCTAACATTTCAAAAATACAGAACTGTAAAAAGCAGACAGATTGGGTCAAAGGAATTGGTACTACATAGTTCTATGGATGGGAGTTAGGGATATTTTGTATACTAGGCATGGTAACCTGAATGTTGTTCCCACTTCCTTGACGAGAGTACTCGATGAGATGAGTGGCCGCATCGATGACCTGGAGAAGAACATTGGTGACCTGATGACCCAGGCTGGGGTGGAGGAGATGGAGGCAGAGAACAAGGTCAAGGAGGAACAGGGCTCTGCTTAAAGGTAATCAACATGGAGTCCACTGAGCATTCTGCTTGTGTTTGTCATCTATAGATCCCTGTGTGTGTCTGTGTGTGTTGAAAGGGTTTTCCCAATGAAACTGTCCAATATTTGTCAACAACACTGTATGTTTTCAGATTGTAACTACTGGAGCCCGACCGATATGTTTTTTTTTTTTGTGGTCCGATACCGATTTTTGGGGGCAAAACTTACCGATGCCGATATACTGTTTTAGAGTGGGAAAATGAAAAAGTCTCATCTTTCTACACTGAATTCTCATAAATATCCATTCAAAATAGCAATTGTCCAATAACTATGCCTCAAACGTTGATTTCATACATTGTGACATTAATGACATCATGAGAATGGCCGCAGGTGTTCAGATTAGCATGAGATTACCTTTTTCATCCTATTTATTCAATATTGGTTATCGGTAGAATTATCTACCGATATAGCGGTAAAAGGTCAATATCGGTGATAGTATTGGTATCCCTTGACTTATTCCACAGTTTGTGTTACAGCCTGAATTCAAAATGGATTCAATTGATTGTTTTTCCTCACCCATCTACACACAATACCCCATAATGACAAAGCGAAAACATGTTTTTAGACATTTTGCGAATATATTGAAAATGATATACAGAAATCTCATTTACATACAGTGCCTTCGGAAAGTATTCTGACCCCTTGACTTTTTCCACATTTTGTTACGTTACAGCCTTATTATAAAATTGATTATACCCCATAATGACAAAGCAAAAACAGTTTTTTTTAGAATTATTTTGCTAATTTATAAAAAATTTAAAAAACTGAAATAACATTTACATAAGTATTCAGACCCTTTACTCAGTACTTTGTTGAAGCACCTTTGGCAGCGTTTACAGCCTCCAGTCTTCTTGGGTATGACACTACAAGCTTGGCACACCTGTATTTTGGGAGTTTCTCCCATTCTTCTCTGCAGATCCTTTCAAGCTCTGTCAGGTTGGATGGGGAGCGTTGCTGCACAGCTATTTTCAGGTCTCTCCAGAGATGTTAGATCGGGTTGAAGTCCGGGCTCTTGCTGGGCCACTCAAGGAAATTGAGACTGGTCCCGAAGCCACTCCTGCGTTGTCACGCCTACTTAGGGTCGTTGTCCTGTTGGAAGGTGAACCTTCGCCCCAATCTGAGGACCTAAGCACTCTGGAGCAGGTTTTCATCAAGGATCTCTCTGTATTTTGCTCTGTTCATCTTTGACTCGATCCTGACTAGTCTCCCAGTACCTGCCGCTGAAAAACATCCCCACAGCATGATGCTGCCACCACTATGCTTCACCGTAGGGATGGTGCCAGGTTTCCTCCAGACGTGAGGCATTCAGGCCAAAGAGTTCAATCTTGGTTTCATCAGACCAGAGAATCTTGTTTCTTATGGTCCGAGAGTCTTTAGGTGCCTTTTGGCAAACTCCAAGCGGGCTGTCATGTGCCTTTTACTGAGGAGTGGACTTTTACCACCCAAAATGACTGCGTTTTTGTCTTTTGAGCTTCTAATCATGAAATCTATGCAGCCTACTCAATCACTTTTTATAGCTACTGTTTACAGGCCTCCTGGGCCGTATACAGAGTTCCTCACTGAGTTCCCTACATTCCTATCGGACCTTGTAGTCATGGCATATAATATTCAAATTTTTGGGGATTTTAATATTCACATGGAAAAGTCCACAGACCCACTCCAAAAGGCTTTTGGAGCCATCATCGACCCAGTGGGTTTTGTCCAACATGTCTCCGGACCTTCTCATTGCCACAGTCATATCCTGGGTTCTAGTTTTGTCCCGTGGAATAAATATTGTGGATCTAAATGTTTTTCCTCATAACCCTGGACTGTCGGACCACAATCTTATTACGTTTGCAATCGCAAACAAATAATCTGCTCAGACCCCAACCAAGGACCATCAAAAGCCGTGCTATAAATTCTCGGACAACCCAAAGGTTCCCAGAGGCCCTTCCAGACTCCCTCCACCTACTCAGGGATGTCAGAGTACAAACATCAGTTAACGACCCAACTGAGGATCTAAATGTAACCTTGCGTAATACCCTAGATGCAGTCGCACCCCTAAAAACAAAAAACATTTGTCACAAGAAACTAGCTCCCTGGTATACAGAAAATACCCGAGCCCTGAAAGCAAGCCTCCAGAAAAATTGGAACGGAAATGGCGCTCCACCAAACTGGATGTCTTTTTATACTAGCTTGGAAAGAAAGTACAGAGCAATATCGAAGAGCCCTCACTGCTGCTCGATCATCCTATTTTTTTTCCAACCTAATTGAGGAGAATAAGAACAATCCAAAATGTCTATTTGATATTGTCACAGAGCAAACTAAAAAGCTGCATTCCCCAAGAGAGGATGCCTTTCACTTCAGCAGTGATGAATTCATGAACTTCTTCGACGAAAAGATCATGATCATTGGAAAGCAAATTGCGGACTCCTCTTTTGAATCTGCGTATTTCTCCAAAGCTCAGCTGTCCTGAGTCTGCACAAAACTGCCAGGACCTAGGATCAATGGAGACACTCAAGTTTTTTTAATCCTATATCTCTTGACACATTCATGAAAATAATGTATATATAAATAATAAATAATGCCTCAACCTTGAAGCTGCATACTGGACCCTATTCCAACTAAACTACTGAAATAGCTACTTCCTGTAATTGCCCCTCCTATGTTGAAGATAATAAATGACTCCCTATCCACTGGATGTGAACCAAACTCACTGAAAGTGGCAGTAATAAAGCCTCTCTTGAAAAAGCCAGACCTTGACCCAGAAAATGTTTTTTTTTTAAACTATCGGCCTATATCGAATCTCTCATTCCTCTCAAAGTTTTTTTGAAAAAGCTGTTGTGCAGCAACTCACTGCCTTCCTGAAGGCAATAAATGTACACGAAACGCTTCAGTCTGGTTTTAGACCCCATCATAGCACTGAGACCGCACTCGTGAAGGTGGTAAATTACCTTTTTAATGGCGTCAGACCAAGGCTCTGCATCTGTCATCGTGCTCCTAGACCTTAGTGCTGCCATTGACGCCATCGATCACCGCATTCTTTTGGAGAGATTGGAAACCCTAATTGGTCTACACGGACAAGTTCTTGCCTGGTTTAGATCGTATCTGTTGGAAAGATATCAGTTCGTCTCTGTGGATGGTTTGTTCCTCAACGTTCCGTTTTAGGACCACTATTGTTTTCACTATATATTTTACCTCTTGGTGATGTCATTTGGTAAACACAATGTTAACTTTCATTGCTATGCGGACGACACACAGCTCTACATGTCGATGAAACGTGGTGAAGCCCCAACATTGCCTACCCTGGAAGCCTGTGTTTCAGACAAAAGGAAGTGGATGGCGGCAAATGTTTTACTTTTAAACTCGGACAAAACAGAGATGCTAGTTCTAGGTCCCAAGAAACAGAGATATTCTGTTGGATCTGACAATTAATCTTGATGGTTGTACAGTCGTCAGAAAAAAAAAAACGGAAGGACCTCGGCGGGACTCTGGACCCTGATCTCTCTCTTGACGAACATATGAAGACTATTTTAAGGACAGCCTTTTTCCATCTTCGTAACGTTGCAAAAATCAGAAACGTTTTGTCCAAAAATGATGCAGAAAAGCTAATCCATGCTTTTGTCACTACTAGATTAGACTACTGCAATGCTCTACTCTCCGGCTACCTGGATAAAGCACTAAATAAACTTCAGTTAGTGGTAAACACGGCTGCTAGAATCTTGACTAGAACCAAAAAATGTGATCATATTACTCCAGTGCTAGCCTCTCTACACTGGCTTCCTGTTAAGGCTAGGGCTGATTTCAAGGTTTTACTGCTAACCTACAAAGCATTACATGGGCTTGCTCCTACCTATCTCTCCGATTTGGTCCTGCCGTACATACCTACACGTACGCTACGGTCACAAGACGCAGGCCTCCTTATTGTCCCTAGAATTTCTAAGCAAACAGCTGGAGGCAGGGCTTTCTCCTATAGAGCTCCATTTTTATGGAATGGTCTGCCTGTCCATGTGAGGAGACGCAGACTCTGTCTCGACCTTTTAAGTCTTTACTGAAGACTCCTCTCTTCAGTAGGTCCTATGATTGAGTGTAGTCTGGCCCAGGGGTGCGAAGGTGAACGGAAAGGCACTGGAGCGACAAACCGTCCTTGCTGTCTCTGCCTGGCCGGTTCCTGTCTCTCCATTGGGATTCTCTGCCTCTGACCCTATTACGGGGGGCTGAGTCACTGGCTTACTGGTGCTTTCCATGCCATCCCTAGGAGGGGTGCATCACTTGAGTGGATTGAGTCACTGATGTGATCTTCCTGTCCGATTTGTCGCTCCCTCTGGCTCGTGCAGTGGAGGAGATCTTTGTGGGCTATACTCAGCCTTGTCTCAGGGTAGTAGGTTGGTGGTCTGTTGATATCCCTCTGGTGGTGTGGGGGCTGTGCTTTGGCAAAGTGGGTGGGGTTGTATTCTGCCTGGTTGGCCCTGTCCGGGGGTATCGTTGGACGGGGCCACAGTGTCTCCCCCCCCTGTCTCAGCCTCCAGTATCTATGCTGCAATAGTCTATGTGCCGGGGGGCTCGGGTCAGTCTGTTATATCTGGTGTTATTCTCCTGTCTTATCCAGTGTCCTGTGTGAATTTAAGTATGCTCCCTCTAATTCTCCATCTCTCCCGCTCTCCCTCCCATCCCGGAGGACCTGAGCCCTAGGACCATGCCTCAGGACTACCTGGCCTGATGACTCGTAGCTGTCCCCAGTCCACCTGGTCGTGCTGCTGCTTCAGTTTCCACTCTTCTGCCTGCAGCTATGGAACCCTGACCTGTTCACCGGACGTGCTACCTTGTCCTGACCTGCTGTTTTCAACTCTCTCTCTCTCTACCTCACCTGCTATTTCAACCTCTAAATGCCCGGCTATGAAAAGCCAAGTGACATTTACACCTGATGTACTGACCTGTTGCAACCTCTACAACCACTGTGATTATTATTTGACCCTG